AGTTATTCTATTCTCTCCAAGCCCTTCGGACAGATGGCCATCCATCTTCCTCTGGATTCTGAGTGTTCAGCCGGATTGTGTTTTGCATCAGCGCAAGAAGAACCACGACAACACCGCAGTTCCCCAAAGGCCTTCTGTCCTCGGGTTCCCTGGCTTTCTCCCATGCTCCGGCCTGGGAGTGCACTGGGGCCCCTGGAGAGCCAGGCAGCTGCTTTCGGGGAGGCGCGTTCCCACAGCCTTGGCTATGGGGCTCCGCGTCTCCGCAAGGGCAACCGAGGCCCCGGCTGGGTCTGTGGGAACCAGACAGTGCTGGGCACGGTGCCTCGGCTGGCTTCCTCCAGGGGCCCCGAGGGAGGGAGGGAGACCAAGCCAGATCCGCCCCTGCAGACGGCCTTTCCAACGCCAGCGTGATGTGCGGCCCAAGATATTGTTTTCTGGGTTGTTGTAGGTTTTTCCAGGCTATATGGCCATGTTCTGGAGGCAATTTTTCTCCTGATGTTTTGCCTGCATCTATGGCAAGCATCCTCAGAGGTAGTGACCTCACTACCTCTGAGGATGCTTGCCATAGATGCAGGCGAAGCGTCAGGAGAAAAATTGCCTCTAGAACATGGCCATATAGCCCGGAAAACCTACAACAACCCAGTGATCCCGGCCATGAAAGCCTTCGACAATACATATTGTTTTCTGCTGGAAAGAGGGTGCAAAAGGAGAGAGAGCCCCAGGGCTTGGGCTGCAGCAGCTCTTGGACCTGGAGGAGGAAGAGAAGGAAGAAGAGGGGGCAGTTTGGGAACTGAGATGGAGCCATTCGATTTGGTCTCAGTTGGGGTTGCGATTCTGGGTGCATCTACCCAAGGCATGGGCCAACTTCGGTCCTCCCTCCAGGTGTTTTGGACTTCAACTCCCATAATTCCAGACAGTTGGTAGTGGGGCTTGAAGTCCAAAACATCTGGAGGAAGGGCTGAAGTTGGCCCATGCCTGAAAACACTGTACAGTGCCGTCCCCAGAGCCATACCACTGCATGACGAAATCTAAGCCCACGTTCCTCTTGATATTATCCAATATAGGGAAGCAGCAGAAATCGTTCTGGTCCCAAAGTGCCAAGGACTGGTGACACATTCGTGCTCATTTGCTAAGCATCAAAAATGAAATGCAAAGATACAGAATGGGGGAAGTCTGGCTCAATAGCAGTACATGTGAAAAAGATCTTGGAGTCCTCATGGGGAGGAAGGTAAACATGAGCCAGGAAGGTCATGCAGCGGCTTAAAAAGCCAATGGGATTTTGGCCTGCATTTATAGGAGTCTAGTGTCTAGATCCAGGGAAGTCATGCTACTCTTCTATTCAATTGGTTCAGCGAGCGGCAGCCAGGATGTTAACTGGCGCTCCTTAGAGGGAGAGGTCAACCCTCCTGTTTAGGGAGCTCCATTGGCTGCCATTCATTTTCCGGTCCCAATTCAAGGTGCTTACCTTCAAAGCCCTAAACGGTTTGGGACCCGCCTACCTGTGTGACTGCATTTCTGTATACGAACCCACACGATCTCTTCGATCATCTGGAGAGGCCCTGCTCACGATCCCACCTGCATTACAAGCGCAATTGGTGGGGAGGAGGGACAGGGCCTTCTCGGTGGTGGGCCCTCGACTCTGGAACTCACTCCCCAAGGACATCAGGCATGCCCCAACACTGACAATCTTTAGGAGGAGTCTTGAAAACATGATTGTTCCAGTGTGCCTTCCCAGAATAAGGAAACTCCCAGCAATATGTCCCGAATGCACTTTATTAGAGATCTAGGATCGTCTACACGCCCCACGTATCTTCAAAATACCTATCCTATTTCACCTGGTCATGCCCAGCATTTTTTAACAATTTTAATTCATAGAGTCATAGAATCATAGAATCAAAGAGTTGGAAGAGACCTCCTGGGCCATCCAGTCCAACCCCATTCTGCCAAGAAGCAGGAATATTGCATTCAAATCACCCCTGACAGATGGCCATCCAGCCCATTATTACACTTGGCCCTGCCATAGGGTCTTTTAATGCATTGTGGTGTTATTGTTAATGTTTACTTCTTGTTTATGAGTTTATTTACTGTTGTATTGTTTTTGTTGTTGTTTTACTGAGGTATTTGGGCTTGGCCTCTTGTAAGATTCACCGAGTCCTTCGAGAGATGGTAGCGGGGTATAAATAAAGGTTTATTATTATTATTATTATTATTATTATTATTAACAAGCCCTATGAGGAGTGGCTTAAAGAGCTGGGCATGTTTAGCCTGCAGAAGAGAAGGCTGAGGGGAAATATGTGAGAGGAAGCCACAGGGAGGAGGGAGCAAGCTTGTTTTCTGCTTCCCTGGAGACTAGGACGCAATGGAGCAATGGCTTCAAACTACAAGAGAAGAGATTCCATCTGAACATTAGGAAGAACTTCCTGACTGTGAGAGCCGTTCAGCAGTGGAACTCTCTGCCCCGGAGTGTGGTGGAGGCTCCTTCTTTGGAAGCTTTTAAACAGAGGCTGGATGGCCATCTGTTGGGAGTGCTTTGAATGCAATTTTCCTGCTTCTTGGCAGAATGGGGTTGGACTAGATGGCCCATGAGGTCTCTTCCAACTCCAGGATTCTATGATACTTTCCTTCTTGGAAACCTGCTGCAAGCCTGTACCTTCAAAGGCCAATGACTTTCAAAGAACTCTAACTTGGAAGGGACCTCCAGGGATCATCCAGTCCGACCCCTTTCACCATACAGGAAGACACTATCAAAGCCCTCCCAACAGATGACCATCCAGCTTCTGTTTAAAGGCCTCCAGAGAAGGCCTGAGTGTTCTTTGAAGGCACACAGTAAACAACAAAGGATTCCATGCTTAGATGTGCACTGCTTCCCCAATGTTTTTGACAGTTATCATCATTGCAACTAGTGTCGATTTCTGTTTTGATCTTTCCAATAGGTTTGAATTTTTGAAACCACAGTCTGCCAAATAGTTGTTTTACTTCAGTTTGTTTTGTATTGTTTACCATACCTTGTTACTCAGGAACTTTGGATAAAGAGAAGGATATAAATATTTTTCAAAGTAAGTGAGAAATTCCAAGCGAGGGAACTGCAGAAATCCTATAAACCCCAGCAACTACAATTCCCAAATGTCAAGGTCTATTTCTTCCATGTGAGTTCAGCCAGTTTCTCAATCTGGGGGTTGGGACCCCTGAGGGTGTTGTGAGGGGGATGTCAGAGGGGTCTCCAAAGACCATCAGAAAACACAGTATTTTCTATTGGTCATGCGGGTTTGGGAAGTTTGGCCCAATTCTATCGTTGATGGGGTTCAAAATGCTCTTTCGTTGTAGGTGAACTATAAATCCCAGCAACTACAACGCTCAAATGTCAAGGTCTATTTTTCCCAAACTCCACCAGTGTTCACATTTGGGCATATTGAGTATTCGTGCCAAGTTTGGTCCATATCTATCATAGCGCTGGGATTGTGGCGCAGCTGGTTGAGTGTCAGCTGCATTAAGTTCGAAGCCAGCCCGGGTTGGAGTGGGTTTCCAACCAATTGTGTAGCCTGTTGTCGACCTTTGCAACCCGAAAGACAGTTGCATCTGTCAAGTAGGAAAATAAGGTACCACCTTAAAGTGTGGGGAGGCTAAATTAACTGATTTATGAGGCCATAAAGAAGACTCCAGCAAAGCATTCCAGCGGGGAAGCATGCGGGGAATGCGGAAGTGCTTCATCAGCGTCGCAGATGGACGATGAAAGCGACAGTTCCCCTGGCAGCCAGAAAAAGTTAAATAGCCTCTGTGTATGTCTGTATATGTTTGTATGTCAAAAATTGGCATTGAATGTTTGCCATACATGTGTATACTGTAATCCGCCCTGAGTCCCCTACGGGGTGAGAAGGGCGGAATATAAAAGCTGTAAATAAAGAAATAAATAAATAGTTTGACTCCACAATGCTCTCTAGATGTAGCTGAACTACAACTCCAAAACTCAAGGTCAATGCCCACCAAACCCTTCCAGTATTTTCTGTTGGTCATGGGAGTTCTGTGTGCCAAAGTTGGTTCAGTTCCATCATTGGTGGAGATCAGAATGCTCTTTGATTGTAGGTGAACTATAAATCCCAGCAAGTACAACTCCCAAATGTCAAGGTCTATTTCCCCCAAACTCCACCAGTGTTCACATTTGGGCATATTGAGTATCAGAGCCAAGTTTGGTCCAGAATCATCGTTGTTTGAGTCCACAGTGCTCTCTGGATGTAGGTGAACTACAACTCCAAAACTCAAGGTCAATGCCCACCAAAGCCTTCCAGTATTTTCTGTTGGTCATGGGAGTTCTGTGTGCCAAGTTTGGTTCAGTTCCATGGTTGATGGAGTTCAATATGCTCTTTGATTGTAGGTGAACTATAAATCCCAGCAACTACAACTCCCAAATGTCAAGGTTATTTTCCCCAAACTCCACCAGTGTTCACATTTGGGCATACTGAGTATTCATGCCAAGTTTGGTCCAGAATCATTGTTGTTTAGTCCACAGTGCTCTCTGGATGTAGGTGAACTAAAACTCCAAAACTCACGGTCAATGCCTACCAAACCTTTCCAGTATTTTCTGTTGGTCATGGGAGTTCTTGTGTTGGTGAAGTTCAGAATATTCTGTGATTGTAGGTGAACTATAAATCCCAAGCAGGAAGAGGAGAGCAGGCATGCTTGGCGCATGGTAACGTGGTGTGCATGTGTGGCAAACTTGGGCCCTCCAAGTGTTTTGGACTCCAACTCCCACAATTCCTAACGCGGCTGAGGGGGGAAAGGAAAGGGCCTGAGGCTGTTAGGAATGGTGGGAATTGGAGTCCAAAACACTTAGAAGACCCAAGTTTGCCACACATGCACACCACGTTACCATGCGCCAAGCATGCCTGCTCTCCTCTTCCTGCTTGGGATTTATAGTTTGCCCATGCCTGGTTTATCCCCCCCCCCCCCCCCGCGCCCCCAATAATAAGAAAACCTGACATTGCAGAAAAATAGAATCTGTGTCAAAAGTTTGAAAGCACATTTATTCCATTATCCAAACAAATAAATTTGACGCAGGACGATTGAGACATTTCGGACAGAGGGACCCCAATGCCAATGAACAGAAATGGGACGCCTCCGTCCTATCGAGTCAATAACTTACATGGATGTCCAGAAAGCCCTGTCTCCGAGCGCAGCTACCTCTCCCCTTACTCCCATCCATCTAGTACCCCAATGTTCACTCAAAGAAGAACATCCCTGGAGTCCGGTAGAGGCAATGGGGCAGACTCAGTGGGTACGCATTCCCTCCTTGGAGGGAGAAGGGGCTTCCAGGCCAAGGATCCTGTTCCTGCATGAAGCTGGATGGCTGGACGGCCGGAGTCGAGGAAGAGGCAGACGGAGCAGACGGAGAGGCCAAGAGATGCTCCAAGGTTGCACCGCTCCGGTGTTCATTGACGCAGAAGTTCAACGCCTGCAAGCGGCACTGGTAGTTCCCCCCAAGGGCATCGGAGCCAGAGTAGCCCAAGGAGCCAAACACGGGCAACACTGGAGGCTTGGAGTAGCCTTCAACCTCAAAGGGGATCGAAGGCTGGGAAGCTTTGCCTGGGAAAGAAGGAGCCAACCGCCCAAAGGCTTGGGATGCCTCCTTCCCTTCTAGAAGGCCTTTGGGGGAGCTTTGGAGGACTTCCTTGACCTCAGTCCTGGGCAGAGGCATCATCCGGTCACCAAGGTGGATCCCTGGCACAAGATTTCCAGCTCGCTGTGGGCTCTCCTTGCCCTGGGAGCAACTCAGTTGGGAAGAAAAGCAGGGCTGTTGGACGAAGAGGTGCGACTTGGATGCTGGCAAAGAAGAAGCCAACTGTCCAAAGGCTTGGGATGCCTCCTTCCCTTCTGGAAGGCCTTTGGTGGCGCTTTGGAGGACCTCCTTGACCTCTGTCCTGGGCAGAGTGAGCTGCTGAGGCATCATCCGGTCACCAAGGTGGATAGGATTCCCAGCTTGCTGTGGGTTCTCCTTGCCCTGGGAGCAACTCAGTTGGGAAGAAAAGCAGGGCTCTTGGACAAAGAGATGCGACTTGGATGCAGGCAAAGCCTGAGGATGGTGACCCAATGGCCGAAACCTGAACATAGAGGGTTTGGCACATACCACTTGTTCCGTGCAAGGAAGGGCTGTGTCACCATTGTTTTGGCCACAAATAGGCATCTCCAAGGGTTTTGCAGGACTTGGCATCTCCTGGCATGGACTTTGCAGCAAGCCAGATGGGGTGCTTGGCGAAGAGTGACCATCTTCCACCTTGATGGCCTTTCTGGCCCTTGTTTGGCCTTTGGAGAGCTTCTTGGGTTCCCCATCATCCGTGGTGCCTCGCTTGCGGGTGAACCTTCGCCGCCGCCTCAAGAAGCTCCCGTTCTCGAACATGTCGTAGCAGTCGGGGTCCAGCGCCCAGTAGCTCCCCTTGCCAGGCTTCTTGTCGTCTCGAGGCATCTTCACGAAGCATTCATTGAGGGAGAGGTTGTGGCGGATGCTGTTCTGCCAACCCTGCTTGTTGTCGCGGTAGTAGGCAAAGCGGCCCATGATGTAGCGGTAGATCCCGCTGAGCGTGATCCGCTTCTCCGGAGTGCTCTGGATGGCCATGGTGATCAGGGCGATGTAGCTGTACGGTGGCTTGGTGCCATCCACGTTGGACAAACGGGGGCCCAAGAAAGTCTCGGAGGATGCATACCTGCAAAGGCCAGCACCACCTGAGGCCTTGCAGGTGGAGAGGGAAAGGGATGTCTTGGGATAGTCCAGCTGCATCCTTTCCTTGCTCTGTGTGGTGAGGCTGTTCGTTTCCCACCAAAAGCCTCTAAATGTTGCTTTCTGTGGTCCAGCCCTCTTGCTTTCTGGAAAAAAGGCCAATGTGCGAGCATGGGCTCCACCTCCAGCCCACAGATGGCCAAAGGAGGGGCCAGACGCAGCCAGCTTTGCAGGACTTGTCATCTCCTCCAGGCCAGAGAGGAAATGCCACCTCGGCCACAGACGCAGCTGGGCGGAGTGGGACGAGGGACGGACGGAGAAGGCCGGGGTGACACAGAGGCTATGGCTGGGAACCTTCATCCAAACAAAACAGAGAAAGCTGTGCTCTTTTCCAACTCTGTGTTGGGCGACACTACTTACTCAAGATGCCAACAACAGTGGTGGGGTGCATCGGAAAGCCTTCCCAGACGAACCTGCCTGTGTCCGGACTCTGTCTGTTCAGGCTGGAGCAAAAGTTGCATGGGAGTTGCATCAGCACCAAGTTCGTGCTGGACCTCAGGACATCTGTCCTTCCCCAACTCCTGGGACGCTTCTCAAATGGCAACGACTGGGAGCAGAATTTGCCAGATGTGGCCGAACTCACATGGAAGAAAATAGAAGGATGGATGGAAATAAGGCTCTTTTTGGATACAGCAACTGCCAGAATCCCCCGATTCAAGGATGGGCAAACTTGGGCCCTCCAGGTGTTTTGGACTTCAACTCCCACCATTCCTAACAGCCGATAGGAGATCTCATTCTGCATCTGCAAACATTCCAAAATCTGAAATACAAAACATTCCTGGTCCACTGCAAAAATATATACTACATTAGGGGTGCATCCACACTGTGGAGTTAACTCAGTTTGAGACCACTTTAAGTGTCATGGCACAATGCTAGGGGATCCTGGGAGTTGTACCTTGCTGAGGCTTCAGCCCTTTTTGGTAGAGATGGTTCAAACTACATTTCCCAGGATTGCAGAACACTGAGCCATGGCAATTAAAGTGAGTGTCCAACTGCATTAATTAAAAGTGATTTTAAACTTGGGTTCTTCCACTCTTCTCGGTTCATATACAGAGGTTGAAAACTCTGCTTTCACTAAGTGTAGTGGAGCCTGGAGGATATTTAGCCTTTTATAGGGAAAATCGGAGGATTATAATAATAGTATCTAGCTCCAGCAGACAAGAGGCCTTTGTCCCACCCTGGTCATTCCACAGATATATAAACCCTTTTTCCTAGTTCCAACAGACCTCACTACCTCTGAGGATGCTTGCCATAGATGCAGGCGAAACGTCAGGAGAGAATGCCTCTAGACCACGACCATATAGCCTGAAAAAACTTACAACCCAATAGTATCTTGCTAAATGGGCTCCTTGCGTCCTCTAGTGGCCAGTGCAGGGAATGCAGAGCTGCTTATATCTTCCAAAGCATATGCTACTAGTACACAATCAGCTTTGCATCCACTGATTCAATCAACCATGTTCAAAAATATTTTTTTCAATCCAAAAAGCAACTCTTTTGCTTGTTTATATAATGAACATTATTTTCTATGTCACTGAATATAATAGGACTTGGGATTGGGGTCTCTATGTAACTGAGCTCCCATAACAATAATTGGAAATCGACTATATGATCAATACCCTAAGAACATATGAAAATCACACATATGGAATGGAAGATATTTGTAAGCATACATTTTGCTTCTGTATCTTCATACTTGAAGATGTTTTAAATAGAGTGGGTGGCAATTAGTCCCAGCTAGAAAGGAGCCCTCACTACCTCTGAGGATGCTTGCCATAGATGCAGGTGAAATGTCAGGAGGGAATGCCTCTAGACCAGTGTTTCTCAACCTTGCTAATGCCGTGACCCCTTAATACAGTCCCTCATGTTGTGGTGACCCCCAACCATAATATTGTTTTCGTTGCTACTTCATAACAGTCATTTTACTACTGTTATAAATCATAATGCAAGATGTATTTTCATTCACTGGACCAAACTGGGCACAAATACCCAATGCAACCACATGTAAATGCTAGTGGGGTTGGGGGAGGATTGATTTTGTAATTTGGGAGTTGTAGTTGCTGGGATTTATAGTTCCACAATAGAAGTTGCAACGTGTATTCAAACATAGCTTGTGAATCACAAAACAAAATAGAGATAGAAAGTTTCTAGCTTGTATATTAGTCCTTGAGACAGTTAGTGAACTTCAAATATAATCCCAACGGTCTCCGATACAAAATATATTACGAATGCTGATATTAGTAGTCCTTGAGACCGTAAATAAACTGAAAATACTTGTAGTCCATGAGAACGTAAACAAATTATGTATAGTCCTTGAGGCAGTCAGTGAACTAAAATCTTGTCCATATGGTCTCCAATGCAGAATATACTCCAAATGATGATATTAGTAGTCCTAAAGACCGTAAATGGATTGACAAAACTTGTAGTCCTTGAGAACGTAAACAAATCAATACTTGTAGTCCATGAGAACGTAAACAAATGACAAGGATCCCTGGGTTGAGTTCGCCTTGTTTCGGGGGACTTCCCCTTCTTCAGAATGTTTCTTCTATTTGCTAGCAGGTGGTTCACACCCTACATCCCTGAGTAGGTGATAACAACAAGATAGCAACATAATAGATATGCCAACAAAAGGCACCCAAACCAAAAACACTTAGTGATGATAACATGCAATACAGTAAAACAGACTCCCCACATATAATTACGTCTTGAATGGAATGCTGGCCCTACAGTGAGTTCTTCAGTTGTGAGCACTGTGGTTGCAGGGAACAGGAATTTAAAGGCATAGCTAATTACAAACCGGCAGCTGGAATGTAAATTGTCAGTGGATAAGGTGGATAATGGGGTCTGTTATAGAAAGCAGCTGAGGTCCAGTCTGTCATTAAGACCGGTAGGAAAAATTGTGTTGAGCTTAAAAATCCAAAATGCTTCCCTTTGCAAAAGAAAATTCTTAGTGTCCATGTGTGGCTTCGTGTGAATTTTTTCTATGATGCAAAACTTGAAGCTGGGAGGTGTATGTCCTTTCTCCAGAAAATGAGAGTAAGGAGTACAGTCATTGTATTTGTTTTTTATGCAAGAGCGGTGTTCCATTATTCTGACTTTGACCAGTCTACTTGTTATACCAATATAAAGACGGTCACATGGGCACAGAATACAATATACACAATTTTCTGTCGAGCAGGTGGTCAAATCATTTAAAGGTATAGTGATTTTCATGGTGGGGTGTGTGAATTGTAGAGTTTTCAATGATTGGGAGCAGCATTCACAGTGTCCACAGTAAGTATGTCCTTTAAGGCTAGATAGACTTTTTTTAGGTTTAGTGAGATCTGATGTCATCAACATGTCCTTTAAATTTTTGGTGCGTTCACTAACTGTCTCAAGGACTAATATACAAGTTAGGAACTTTCTATCTCTATTTTGTTTTGTGATTCACAAGCTATGTTTGTTTGAATACACGTTGCAACTTCTATTGTGGTATTGTATATAGATATCTGTGTTTCTTTGACGGGATTTATAGTTCACCTATAATCAAAGAGCATTCTGAACCCCACCAGCGATGGATTTAAACCGAACTTGGCACACAGAACTCCCATGACCAACAGAAAACACTGGAAGGGTTTTGTGAGCATTGACCTTGAGTTTGGGAGTTGTAGTTCACCTATATCCCGAGAGCACTGTGGACTCACGCAATGGTGGATCTGGACCAAACTTGGCACAAATACTCAATATGTGCAAATGTGAACACTGGTGGAGCCTGGGGAAAATAGACCTTGACTTTTGGGAGTTGTAGTTGCTGGGATTTATAGTTCACCTACAATCAAAGAACATTCTGAACTCCACCAACGACAGAATTGGCTCAAACTTCCCACATGGAATCCCCATGACCATCAGAAAATACTGTGTTTTCTTATGGTCTTTGGTGACCCCTCTGACACCCCTCGCGACCCCCTCAGGGGTCCCGACCCCCAGGTTGAGAAACACTGCTCTAGAACATGGTCATATAGCCCGAAAAAACCTATATCAACAGGAGGGTATCTATTATTATTATTATTATTATTATTATTATTATTATTATTATTTTACTGACACAAAAACACAGTATGTCACAGCAAACGAGATATATATGCTGGATTTCGTATCACAAAATCACAAGTTGAACACTTCCCAAGCGTCTAGGACTGTGTGATGCATTTTCGAATGATGCGAGCAGATCCAAGTCAGGTGGCCTTTTGCAGTTGTTGTTGTTGTTATTACTATTATATTTATTTCTATCTTGCTTTATCTCTTTGAAGGGAACTCAAAGCAACCTGACATAAAAGCAATAGCATACAATTTAAAATATACAAATGAGCAAACATTAAAATAGATTTTTTTTTTTAAAAAACCCTCAGTTCAAATCCGTCAACTCCTGGACACTTTCAGAGCAAGCCATTCTTCCATTCCCTGCCATCAAAGCCAATGCTGGACAGGAGTCTAAGTTGCAACGAGTGCATTGCCTTGGATCAGGGTAAATGCCCTCCTTCCACATTGCTCGGTGCTCAATGCAATCAGGATTTTGTCCTGGATGAAGGACAGTGTTGGCATTCCCCAATTTCCAAACGAGCCGGACTTCCAGGCCCATCAAGGGGAGCACATCTGCTTCAGGATCTGGCTCACGTTCCTGGAAGCATCCGCATTGCCGCAGAGAGAGTTCTGGAGTGAACTGGAAACCGACTGCTGGACACGAAGGAAGAAATCCCGGGCAAAGACCGGCTCGACCTGCAAGGATGACCACAGGCAGAAGGTCAGCATAGGACAGATGGAAAGGGGAAATGAAGGCGCGTCTAGGGTCCCATCCACACCGCCATATAAAATCCAGAATATCTGCTTTGAATTCGATTATATGAGTCTGCACTGCTGTATAATCCAGTTCAAAGCAGACTATCAGGATTGTTGTAGGTTTTTCGGGCTATATGGCCATGTTCTAGAAGCACTGTCTCCTGACGTTTCGCCTACATCTATGGCAAGCATCCTCAGAGGTAGTGAGGTCTGTTGGAACTAGGAAATGAAGGCGCGTCTAGGGTCCCATCCACACCGCCATATAAAATCCAGAATATCTGCTTTGAATTCGATTATGAGTCTGCACTGCTGTATAATCCAGTTCAAAGCAGACTATCAGGATTGTTGTAGGTTTTTCGGGCTATATGGCCATGTTCTAGAAGCACTGTCTCCTGACGTTTCGCCTACATCTATGGCAAGCATCCTCAGAGGTAGTGAGGTCTGTTGGAACTAGGAAATGAAGGCGCGTCTAGGGTCCCATCCACACCGCCATATAAAATCCAGAATATCTGCTTTGAATTCGATTATGAGTCTGCACTGCTGTATAATCCAGTTCAAAGCAGACTATCAGGATTGTTGTAGGTTTTTCGGGCTATATGGCCATGTTCTAGAAGCACTGTCTCCTGACGTTTCGCCTACATCTATGGCAAGCATCCTCAGAGGTAGTGAGGTCTGTTGGAACTAGGAAATGAAGGCGCGTCTAGGGTCCCATCCACACCGCCATATAAAATCCAGAATATCTGCTTTGAATTCGATTATGAGTCTGCACTGCTGTATAATCCAGTTCAAAGCAGACTATCAGGATTGTTGTAGGTTTTTCGGGCTATATGGCCATGTTCTAGAAGCACTCTCTCCTGACGTTTCACCTGCATCTATGGCAAGCATCATCAGACCTCAGGTCCTTTCCTTTTCCCCCTCAGAGTCGTGGTCCAAACGTAAACAAATACACCGCATTGATGGAGATTTATGCTCTACCAAAGACCCAGCCAGAAGGTGGTCCTCTACTACAAGCAGACAGTGGGCCCATTTTTACAAAGCTGCAGCAAGTATGACACTTTCATACATAGTTTTGGACATGGACAACTAACTCAATACTGTGCATATTAAACTGTGAAAATTAGGGAACACTGTAAATAAATACCCATGGTCAGCAAGAGACTCACGTGTGCCATGATGAAGCCCTGGAATTTCTGGTTGGGGGCAGCAGGATATTCCTCCCCGAAGCATAAGCTGATCTGGTACTGAGGAGGTGGCTCTCCGTGGCTCTTGTACGTCTCCAACTCTGAGCAGCAAAGAGAAGAGAGAGCATTGAATGGTTGCACAGAGCTATCCACACTTTACACCAGGCATAAGCCAACTTCAGCCTTCCAGGTGTTTTGGACTCCAACTACCACAATTTCTAACACCCTACTGGCTGTTAGGAATTGTGGGAGTTGAAGTCCAAAACACCTGGAAGGCACAAGTTTGGCCATGCCTGCTGCAGAGACCAGAACACAATGGATGTTAACCATAGAATCCTTGAGTTGGAAGAGACCTCATGGGCTATTCAGTCCAACCCCTTGCCAAGCAGCAGAAAAATCATCTTCAAAGCACCCCTGACAGATGGCCATCCAGCCTCTGTTTAAAAGCCTCCAAAGAAGGAGCCTCCACCACACTCCGAGGCAGAGAGTTCCACTGCTGAACAGCTCTCACAGTCAGGAAGTTCTTCCTAATGTTCAGATGGAATCTTCTTTCTTGTAGTTTGAAGCCATTATTCCGTGTCCTAGTCTCGAGGGAAGCGGAAAACAAGCTTGCTCCCTCCTCCCTGTGGCTTCCTCTCACATATTTATACATGGCTATCATATCTCCTCTCAGCCTTCTCTTCTTCAGGCTAAACATGCCCAGCTCCTTAAGCCGCTCCTCATAGGGCTTGTTCTCCAGACCCTTGATCATTTTAGTCGCCCTCCTCTGGACACATTCCAGCTTGTCAACATCTCTCTTCAATTGTGGTGCCCAGAATTGGACACAGTATTCCCTTGCCTAGTTCCAACAGACCTCACTACCTCTGAGGATGCTTGCCATAGATGCAGGCGAAACGTCAGGAGAGAATGCTTCTGGACCATGGCCATATAGCCCGAAAAAACCTACAACAACCCAGTGATTCCAGCCATGAAAGCCATCAACAATACATTTATACTGTTATGTTTTCACATGTTTTATGTAATTATGACGTTATTGTTTACTGTCTGCTTTTTCGGGTTGCGTTTTCGGTTTTATGCTGCTGTAATTTGTGTTTGGGCTTGGCCTCATGTAAGCCGCTCCGAGTCCCCATTGGGGAGATGGTGGCGGGGTATAAATAAAGATTATTATTATTATTAAAATAAAGTTATTGTTGTTGTTAGTATTATTATTGTTATTATTAAATCAGTGAAGGTGGAAGGGATCTCTGACTCACGTTGTCGGAACTGCTCGGCGTCCATCAGCTTGTAGGTCTTCTCGCGCTCCAGCTTGTTGGGCCGGTCCGCATGGGGTGCCAAGGGCCCCTTCCAGTAAACGCGCCCCTGGCACTGTCGCTTGAGGAAGACCCCCTCGGGGGCCACCCACATGAGCACTCCCCGGTGCAGGTGGGGTAGCAGCCGGCTCAGCACTCCCGCCCCACGCGACAGCCGGCTGTTTCCGGCCAGGACAGATGGGGAGGGCAGCTGGATCTGCTCCATGCCGCTGGGGCCATAGAGGCAGGGGTTGTCGACAGGCACCGGGAGGAAGGTCAAGCGGCATCCCTCGGCCGTGCTGGTGGTCACCTCCTTCACCAGGACGTTGCAGTAGTAGAGGCGAATGTGCAGCCAGAAGTCTGGAGGGCAAGAAGAAGAGGGCAGGGAGTGAGGCATGTCTCAACCTGTTGGGGTTACAGGTTGAGACATGCCTCTCTGTCTAGTTTGAAAGTCCAATGGAGTCTGAGTCCTGAACAACCCAGATCTGACCCCTCCCCCTGATGTCCTGACACCCAGGTTGAGAAATACTGGTCTAAAGCATCTTGTTGGTCTGAGAGTCCAATAGAGTCTCTGTCTAGTTTGAAAGTCCAATGGAGTCTGAGTCCTGAACAAGCCCAGATCTGACCCCTCCCCCTGATGTCCTGACCCCCAGGTTGAGAAACGCTGGTCTAAAGCATCTCTTTGGTCTGAGAGTCCAATAGAGTCTCTGTCTAGTTTGAAAGTCCAATGGAGTCTGAGTCCTGAACAAGCCCAGATCTGACCCCCCCCCCCCCGATGTCCCGACCCCCAGGCTGAGAAACGCTGGTCTAAAGCATCTCTTTGGTCTGAGACTCCAATAGAATCTCTGTCTAGTTTGAAAGTCTAATGGAGTCTGAGTCCTAAACAAGCCCAGATCTGACCCCCCCCCCATGTCCTGACCCTCAGGTTGAGAAATGCTGGTCTAAAGCATCTATTTGGTCTGAGACTCCAACAGAGTCCCTGTCTAGTATGAAAGTCCAATGGAGTCTGAGTCCTGAACAAGCCCAGATCTGACCACATGGTCTGCAGCCCTTCCCACAATGAAAAATTATGGAAAACTGCATACCAATAGACACATATACAATACAGTAAGCAATTTGCATTATATACATAACAAATAGCTAGTGGAGACTTGAAGAATGTTGCTATTTCCGACAGTTTGCGGCACAAAAGCGAAGTTTCTGGAGTAGAACAACTGCTTTCAAATTAAGGACTGCACAATTCAACAGGAAATAACACTTTCGAACCAGGAACAGTGCATAGTGCAATACATTATTTCTAGGTTCAACGCAAGGTGCTTCCTGTTGGACCGAAAACTTGGAAGAACTTCTTTTTTTGGACCATAAGTCTCTTAAATGGAATGGGAAGGAGAGAAACCAGAAGTGAACAGGTTTGGAGAGAAAACACCTTCCATACCTGAGTTGATGCTCTCTATGTCTGCGCACTGGGAGCTGGGGCTGATGACGTGCGGCACCGTGTGGCACCGAAGCTGAGCTGGAGTATAGCCATAGAAAAAGCCTTTCACTTGAACGCCTGGAAATGTAGGTACACAAGAAACCAGGGAGTTGTAAATTGCAAAAGTATAAGTTAAGACAGGCAGGGGCCAACTTTTGCCCTCCAGGTGTTTTGGACTCCAACTCCCACAGTTCCTAACAGCCGGTAGCTGTTAGGAACTGTGGGAGTTGGAGTCCAAAACACCTGGAGGGCAAAAGTTGGCCCATGACCAAGTTCAAGCTTATCTACATTAGCCAAAACAACTTCCAGGAGCTGATTGAGGAATAAACTTGTTAGGTTAGTATTTCATTCTTTAATTCTTTCTTTCTTTCTTTCCCACATTTGTATACCACCTTTCTCAGCCCGGAGACGACTTAAGGCAGTTCAAAGTCTGGCAGCTATTCGATGCCTTAGCAATTATAAAAATACAGTTCAAGCAACTATAAAAACAATACAACCTGTAAAAGGGAAGGGGAAGGGGAAGGGAGGAAGGAGGGAGGGAGGAAGGGAAGGGAGGAAGAAAGGAAGGAGGGAGGGAGGGAGGGAGGGAGGGAGGGAGGGAGGGAGGAAGGAAGGAAGGAAGGAGAAGGAAGGGGGAAGGAAGGAAGGAAGGAGAAGAGGGGGAAGAAAGAGGGGAAGGAAGGAAGGAGGGGAAGAAGGAGGAGAGGGAGGAAGGAAGAAGGAAGGAAGGAAGAAGGAAGGAGGAAGGAAGAAGGAAGGAAGAGGAGGGAGGAGGAAAGGAAGGAGGAGGAGGAGAAAAAAGGGAAGGAAGGAAGGAAGGAAGGAAGGAAGGAAGGAAGGAAGGAAGGAGAAAAGAAGGAGGAGGAGGGAGAAGGAAGGAAGGAAGGAAGGAAGGAAGGAAGAAGGAAGGAGGAGGAGGAGAAGAAGGAGGAAGAAGGAAAGAAGAAGAAAGAAGGAAAGAAGGAAAGAAGGAAGGAAGAGAAGGAAGGAAGGAAGGGAAGGAAGGGAAGAAGGAGGGGAAGGGGAAAGAAGGAGGAGGAGGGGAAGGGAGAAGGAGGAGAAGGGGAAGGAAGAAGGAAGGAAGGAAGGAAGGAAGGAAGGAAGGAAGGAAAAGGAAGAAAAAGAAAAGAGGAGGAGAAAGGAAAAGAAGGAGGAAAGAAAGGAAGAAAGAGAGAAGGGGAAGGAGGAGGAGAGGAGAAAAAGGAAGGAAGGAAGGAAGGAAAGAGGAAGAAGGAAAGAAGGAAAGAAAGAAGGAAGGAAGAAGGAAGGAAAGAAGGAGAAGAAGGGGAGGGGGAGGGGAAGGAAGGAAGGAAAGAAGGAGGGGAAGGGGAAGGGGAGAAGGAAGGAAGGAAGGAAGGAAGAGAAGGAGAAGGGGAAGGAGAAGGAAGAAAGCTTTTGCCTGCTGCTTAATAAACCCTGTAATTTGCATGCTTATTGCCCTTGAATCCAAGAAAGAAGTTTTTCCTTTGGCAGAACCAAAATGCCAACTTAATACAACCCCAATGCAATCCCATTGCATCGCCTTACCCTGTTGCTCGGCATGGGCTGCTTCTGGGGAAGCCTGGTCCAGCCCTGAAGGGTCCTGGCCGGTTTGCATGGGCTTGTCCTTGCTTTCCTCGCCTGACTCTGAGGATGCCGTGCTGGCCTGGGAAGGAGCAAAGACACAAGGAATGCAAAAGAATCCCATCATCCAGATCATGGAATAATGATAGATTGTGGTTTGCACTGAATGTGGTGGAAGGAGAAGAAGAATCATAGAATCACAGAGTTGGAAGAGACCCCAAACACCATCGAGTGCAATCCCTGCTATGCAGGAAAAACAGAATTAAAGCACCCCCAACAGATGCCCATACAGCCCCTATATAAAAGCCTCCAAGGAAGAAGCTTCCACCGTGTTACAGTAAGTTGTAGCAGGACCAAGTGTGTGTGTGTTGAAGAAAAACCTTCAAAACACATGGTAATTATTGTGTGCAGCTGGTAAGGTAGGTCAACGAGCAATCTCGGACCACACTAATAGGTTATAACTGTGTGCGTTTTTAGAATACAATTCTGGGAGCCTTTTTGAGCTCCCCGCATATTCTTCAGTCCAGCTCGGAAGTTTCAGCACCCACCCTATAAGATGACTCCTGGCATATAAGACGACCCTCGACTTTTGAGAAGATTTTCCTGAGTTAAAAAGTAGTCTTATACGCCATAAAATACAGTAGTCTCCAGAGCAGCGGGAAGGAAGCTTGTTTCCTCCTTATGACATTCTTTCACAAAGCAAATTCCTAAATTCCTAAATTTCTCCCCAGGTGTAAGTGCAATGCAGATATGGAGTCCATGGTTACAAGGATCTTGATGTACTCATAAAATCGCAGAGTTGGAAGGAACCCATAAACCCATCTGAGCAGGATGGGAATCCACAACTAAAGCAACCCAGATGCTCGATCTACACTGCCATATAATCCAGATGATCAAATCAAATAATCCATATTATCTGCTTTGAACTGGATTATATGAGTCTACACCGACATTTAATCCAGTTCAGGAGGGCGATTAAAATGATCATGGGTCTGGAGAACAAGCCCTATGAGGAGCGGCTTAAGGAGCTGGGCATGTTTAGCCCGAAGAAGAGAATCATCGAATCATAGAATCAAAGAGTTGGAACAAACCTCATGGGCCATTCAGTCCAACCCCCTGCCAAGAAGCAGGAATATTGCATTCAAATCATCCCTGACAGATTGCCATCCAGCCTCTGTTTAAAAGCTTCCAAAGAAGGAGCCTCCACCACACTCCGGGGCAGAGAGTTCCACTGCTGAATGGCTCTCACAGTCAGGAAGTTCTTCCTCTTCAGATGGAATCTCCTTTCTTGTAGTTTGAAGCCATTGTTCCGTGTCCTAGCATGCTGAGAGAAGACATGATGGGCATGTATAAATATGTGAGAGGAAGTCATAGGGAGGAGGGGCAAGCGTGTTTTCTGCTGCCCTGGAGACTAGGATGTGTATCAATGGCTTCAAACTAAAGGAAAGGAGATTCCACCTGAACATTAGGAAGAACTTCCTAACTGTGAGAGCCGTTCAGCAGTGGAACTCTCTGCCCCGGAGTGTGGTGGAGGCTCCTTCTTTGGAAGCTTTTAAACAAGGCTGGATGGCCATCTGTCAGGGGTGATTTGAATCCAATATTCCTGCTTCTTGGCAGAATGGGGTTGGACTGGATGGCCCAGGAGGTCTCTTCCAACTCTTTGATTTTATGATTCAAAGCAGACAATCTGGACTCTGAAACCGGATTATACGGCAGCTTGAGATGCAGTCATCTAATCTCTGATCAGAACTTACAAGACGTACTGGGAGGACTACAATGCCCAGGATCCCCCTGACAGTGTGACCATGCTGCCTGGGGGATGATGGGCTTTTTTATCTGGAATGGCCAACACTTGCTCAACCCCTAAACAGACAAACCTCTGAATGGCAGAAGTTGAATAAGCTGCTAGGGCTGAATCTACACTGCCATGTAATGCAGTCTGAAATTGCATTATGCGTAGATTGCAAAAAGAAAACAGGAACAGAAGCTCAACTAATCCCCACTTTTAACACCCAACAAAGTATTCTTCCAGGCAACACTAAGCAATTTCAATGGGTAGGATATGGGCACGACCCAAATCGGCGCGGATTATACGTCTACCTTGCTTGATCTGCCATTGGGTCTCCGTTCTTGTTGTGCAGACGTCGTGGGTATGTTTGGCTCCTGGAGGGACTCTTTGCTATTTTCTTTATCTGAAAAGAGAGACAGCAAATGGTTTCTTTCCCTGTAAGAAAGTACAATCACTGCGGTTGTTCAAATGCCCATCAGCTCTTGTCTAATTTGTATAGTTCTACACATTGTTTCGCATATTTATACAGCATGTGCTGTCATGCGCTGGGCCTATAGCAGTTGGCTTTTGAACAGGACGTGCTCTTTGTGCCCAGCGGGAAGCCGGGGTGCCTCGAGTGAGAGGCCCTAAGGATTTTCCTATACAGAGTCTTTAGAAGCTTGAAAGGTTTAACAAAGTCCTTTATTATTGCTTAAGTCTTCAACAAACAATCAAATACTTCTTAGATCTTCAACAAATTAAACAAATGCTTCAAGGCTTTGAATCAACTGGTGGCTTTCTTAATCTTGTCCACAAGGGACAGGCAACTGGCTTCGTGAACTGTTTCTTTTCTTTAAGAGGAAAACCCTTTTTAACCCCTCCTTGGGCAATCTACTTTCTAAACTTTGCTGGTGTGGGCTCTACTCCCGGCTCCAAACTGCTTCTTGGGTCCCGAGTAGACCTACCAGTCAAGGCTTTGTAGATTCTCCAGCTGGAGTCCTTTGGAACTGTTTCCCCCCGGATGCTGTGAGAAACGAAGCTTCTCTACAGGTGGAGCTAATCCATGTCCTGTAGCTAAGCTTTCCAATGCAAGACTGACCTAAAATGGCTCCCTCTCCTCCCAGAGCCCTGGGGAAAGGGGCGGAACCAAAACTTAACAATGATTGATGGGTCATTGGCCCTATAATTGCAAACCAAGGGAAGCCACCTTATTGCAAAATGTATGGAACTTTGGAATACATGCAAACACTCAAAGAAAGAAAAGGAAGTTGAAGCTTTTGGTACAGCCATACCAGCACACAGCAACATTATCATTCACAAAACTTCACAGAATAAAATAAACATCCCAGCTAAAAGATACAATCTAATATTGATATTTAAAAAAAGTAGGGAAGATTGGAAACAGGCCGATGGTTGACTAATTGAGTGGGGTCTTCCGATCTTGGAAGACAATCCTACTTGGACAACGAGGGATCGCCTAAGTAAGTGTAAAAGTGTAAATGCAGTTCTGATATACCCTCTTATACTGGAAATTGCAATTAAAAGAACTTAGAGAGATGGGCCAAAACTAACAAAATGAAGTTCAACAGGGACAAATGCAAGATACTCCACTTTGGCAGGAAAAACGAAATGCAAAGATACAGAATGGGGGACAATGCCTGTCTCGAGAGCAGTACGTGTGAAAAAGATCTTGGAGTCCTCGTGGACAACAAGTTAAACATGAGCCAACAATGTGATGTGGCGGCAAAAAAAGCCATTGGGATTTTGGCCTGCATCAATAGGAGCATAGTGTCTAGATCTAGGGAAGTAATGCTACCCCTCTATTCTGCTTTGGTTAGACCACACCTGGAATATTGTGTCCAATTCTGGGCACTCACAATTGAAGAGAGATATTGACAAGCTGGAATGTGTCCAGAGGAGAGCGACTAAAATGATCAAGGGTCTGGAGAACAAGCCCTATGAGGAGCGGCCTAAGGAGCTGGACATGTTTAGCCTGAAGAAGAGAAGGCTGAGAGGAGATATGATAGCCATGTATAAATATGTGAGAGGAAGCCACAGGGGAGGGAGCAAGCTTGTTTTCTGCTTCCTTGGAGACTAGGACGCAATGGAACAATGGCTTCAAACTACAAGAGAGGAAATTCCATCTGAACATGAGGAAGAACTTCCTGACTGTGAGAGCCGTTCAGCAGTGGAACTCTCTGCCCCGGAGTGTGGTGGAGGCTCCTTCTTTGGAAGCTTTTAAACAGAGGCTGGATGGCCATCTGTCAGGGGTGATTTGAATGCAATATTCCTGCTTCTTGGGAGAATGGGGTTGGACTGGATGGCCCATGAGGTCTCTTCCAACTCTAGGATTCTATGATTATGCTTTATAGTTATTGAGAAGTTATTCATGGCACTGCTTCTCTGCTTTGGTTATTCTAGTACAGTGGTTCTCAACCTTCCTAATGCTGTGACCCCTTAATACAGTTCCTTATGTTGTGGTGACCCCCAACCATAACATTATTTTCTTTGCTACTTCACAACTATAATTTCGTTCCTGTTATGAATCATCTTGTAAATATCCAATATGCAGAATGTATTTTCATTCATTTGGAACAAATACTCGCTACACCCAAATTTGAATACTGATGGGGTTGAGGGAGGATTGATTTTGTCATTTGAGAGTTGTAGTTGCTGGGATTTCTAGTTCACCTATAATCATTCTGAACTCCACCAAAGATGGAACTGAACCAAACTTGGGACACAGAGCTCCCATGACCAACAGAAAATACTAGAAGGGTTTAGTGGGCATTGACCTTGGGTTTTGGAGTTGTAGTTCACCTACATGCAGAGAGCACAGATGCATCTGGACCAAACTTGGCACGAATACTCAATATGCCTGAATGTGGACACTGGTGGGGTTTGGGGAAGATAGGCCTTGACATTTGGGAGTTGTCGTTGCTGGGATTTATAGTTCACCTAAAATCAAAGAGCATTCTGAACTCCACCAATGACAGAATTGGGTCAAACCTCCCACATGGAACCCTCACTGCCATCAGAAAATACTGTGTTTTCTAATTGTCTTTGGCAACCCCTCTGACACCCCCTCGCGACCCCCCCCCCCAGGGGTCCCGACTCCCAGGTTGAGAAACACTGTTCTAGTAGCTCTTTCTATTTGCACACAACAAGTAAGTTGTTGAACTGTTGCGTTCAAGGCTTTCTCTCTCCCTTTCTGCCTGCTTTTACTTTCACTTTCTCGCCCGTCCTTTGCTTCTTGAAGAGTTTTATCTGTTGAGAAGTCTCTTTGGCTACAGATGGAGTTCTTGCATTCCTCTTAGAAGCATTGAACTCCACTTGATTTCACTTGACAATAACAAATGCATCACGCTAATGGTCATTTGACGCATTGCAAACAATGGCCAAGAAGCAAGTCCTTGAGAAGTGAGAGCTGCGTATATTTAGCTTGGAGAAGGTTAATAGGGGAGATGGGAGTCATTGTATTGTCGAAGGCTTTCATGGCCGGAATCACTGGGTTGTTGTAGGTTTTTTCGGGCTATATGGCCATGGTCTAGAGGCATTCTCTCCTGACGTTTCGCCTGCATCTATAGCAAGCATCCTCACTACCTCTGAGGATGCTTGCCATAGATGCAGGCGAAACGTCAGGAGAGACTGCCTCTAGACCATGGCCATATAGCCCGAAAAAACCTACAACAATCCAATGGGAGTCATGTTTAAATATCGAAAAGGATGCCATATGTAGGAGCTTCTGTAGGATGAATGCAGCTTGTCATCGCTTTCTCCACCCTGCTCAATGCTACGGAAGCAAGGGAGTTGTAGTTTTGCAAAGCCTTTAGCCTTTGCAAAACAATTCCAGACAAGAAACAATCAAGGCCATTTAATCACCTCCCAACAAAGGATTCCTCCAGGCTGTAAGAAGCCAGACCTTGAAACTGCGAGGCCGTTAAATGCTAATCAAGGTGGTCAATTGCAACATTGACATCGACCTCAAACAGACAAGAGTTCTTTCTCCCACCCTGGACATTCCATAGATATAAACCTCATTTTCCTAGTTTCCAACAGATCACACAACCTCAGTGGATGCCTGCCATAGATTCAGGTGAAATGTCAGGAGAGGATGCTTCTGGAACATAGCCATGCAGTCAGAAAAACTCAGAACAACCCATCTTTAGCCTTCTGTCTCACCAAAATCACAAATCCCATGATCTCATAGCACTGAGCCTTGGCAGTTCAAGTAGGATCAAGTCACATTAATTCTACGAGAGTTGAATGAAAAGTAATGCCTCTACCTTTGTTACTTGGGTTTGAATGGGAATATTTTAATAAATCAAACGCAGAAATAATCCTAAGAATGTGCTCTTTAACTACCACTATTCACTTTTCCACATAATCACCAGACAATTGGATACATTTCTGCCAACAATGAACAAGTTTTCTGAAGCCATCACAGAAAAAGTCGGCACTGTTTCCGCAATCCATCATGCACAGATTTTCCAATAGCCAAGCAAAGCAATAATGTTGACCCACACGTTCTTGTGAAATGTTAATTATACTTGAAATTTCTCTCTATGAGTGATACGACGATTGTCCTGAATCAATCTGTTAACCTTTTGCTTGTGAAACTCGGTGGTTGTTGTCACAGGACGTCCAACTCTTTGTTTGTCACGCAAGTCAGATGTTCCCACCTCAACATCTTTAAACTTACTCACCCAACGATACACAGTACTCACATCAACACAATCACCATAAGCACCTTGCATTCTCTGATGAATCTTCTTTGGGGTGACACCTTCAGCTGTCAAGAATCGCTTAAGTCGCATTGCTTAAGTCTCATTGACCGACGGTCTGTGCAGAGTTCCACCGTTTGCACTTTAACAACACAACCATTCAATGCTAAGGCTTCCCACCAAAATGGAACTGTAGAGGAGAGTCTACTGAACAAGCCAGTACCTGCCGCATACCAGAACTGCCATTTGTTGAGGAGTTATGAAGGTGGAGGCATTACTTTTCATTCAACCCTCGTACCTACACTGTAAATGCACCTCTATTTGCATGGGCTCTTCTTCATCACCCTGATGGCATTAAAGGTGCAGATATAATTATCAAGCACTGTTTCTTGCAGCCAGAAGGAACATATGAACACATACAGGGTGCCTTTTCCTACCACCAAACGACAGACATAGCAATTGCCATTTTTAACACAAAATGAAGGATGTTTTGGCTCCCACACAAAACTGAGTTCCTGTTTTCATCTTCTTTTTTAAATAAGCAGAAGGCTAACTCTCACGCCAAACACACACACCCCAAGGATAAACTTTTGGGAAGGGCTATGTACGATACTTGCTGAAAGGCACAGTGAGCAGCGAAATTTAAGAAATTATGACAACAGATCCACACATCAGTTTGTCCCAAGGAAGCCGATTCTGCACAAAATCAGCGTCTCCTGTAAGGTATGCATTGGATGTGTTGTCATGACCAAAATCACTGGATTGCTGTGAGTTTTTCAGACTGTCTAGTCATGTTCCAGCAGCATCCTCTCTTGATGTTTCACCTGCATCTGTGGCTAATGGCATCTTCAGAGGTTCTGTTGGAAATGAGGCAAGTGGAGTGTATGCATATCTATGGAGCAATGTCCAGGGTGGGAGAAAGAACCCTTGTGTTATAGCAAGTGTGAATGTTGCAATTAACAAGCTTTGATACTGCTGAGTAGCCACGAAGCTGCAAAGTCAATCAGTGAGGATATCTGCATAGTGGTAGCCTAATTTTTGTTGCTTGAAGGCTCCCTCTGTTTTGGCGGTAACCAGTATTTAAATACACCAGAATCAAGACTCGAAGAGGACTCCAGACAGCAAGCAATGAAGTGCCAGTGAACACCTTCCAAACAGAAGATTTATTTATCGTGTCATCCGCAACCATACCATTGTATTACATTTCTAACAGAACAAAACAAACAAACACATTAAAAAAGCACAAATTTTGCAATCTTGGTAGTTGATTAACTGTCCTTTGACAAGTATCTGGCCCCTTGGAGTGCCTCTGGTGTTGCCGCAAGAAGGTCCTCCATTGTGCATGTAGCAGGGCTCAGGTTGCATTGCAGCAGGTGGTCTGTAGTTTGCTCTTCTCCGCACTCACATGTCGTGGATTCCACTTTGTGCCCCATTTCTGAAGGTTGGCTCTGCATCTCGTGGTGCCAGAGTGCAGTCTGTTCAGCGCCTTCCAAGTCGCCCAGTTTTCTGTGTGCCCAGGGGGGAGTCTCTCATTGGGTATCAGCCATTGATTGAGGCTCTGGGTTTGAGCCTGCCACTTTTGGACTCTCACTTGCTGAGGTGTTCCAGTGAGTGTCTCTGTAGATCTTAGAAAACTATTTCTTGATTTAAGTCGTTGATGTGCTGGCTGATACCCAAACAAGGGATGAGCTGGAGATGTCTCTGCCTTGGTCCTTTCACTATTGGCTGCTACTTCCCAGGATGTCAGGTGGTGCAATACCGGCTAAGCAGTGTAATTTCTCCAGTGGTGAAGGGCGCAGACACCCCATGATAATGCGGCATGTCTCATTAAGAGCCACATCCACTGTTTTAGTGTGGTGAGATGTGTTCCACACTGGGCATGCGTACTCAGCAGCAGAGTAGCATAGCGCAAGGGCAGATGTCTTCACTGTGTCTGGTTGTGATCCCCAGGTTGTGCCAGTCAGCTTTCTTATGATATTGTTTCTAGCGCCCACTTTTTTGCTTGATTTTCAGGTAGTGCATCTTGTAAGTCAGAACACGGTCCAGGGTAACTCCCAGGTATTTGGGTGTGCTGCAGTGCTCCACTGTTATTCCTTTCCAGGTAATCCTCAGAGCTCGGGATGCTTGTCTGTTCTTAAGATGAAAAGCACATGTCTGTGTTTTATATTGGTTAGGAATCAGCTGGTTTTCCCTGTAATAGGCAGTAAGAGCACCTAGAGCTTCAGAGAGCTTCTGTTCAACCATCTCAAAGCTCCCTGCTTGAGCAGTAATGGCACGATCATCAGCATAGATGAAGCTCTGTCCCTTCTGGCAGTGGCTGGTCATTTGTGTAGATGTTGAAAACTAAACAAATCAATAAAATATAAATTGTCGAAGGCTTTCATGAATGGAATCACTAGGTTCTTGTGGGTTTTTTCGGGCTATAGAGCAATGTTCTAGAGGCATTTCTCCTGACGTTTCGCCTGCATCTATGGCAAGCATCCTCAGAGGTAGTGAGGTCTGTTGGAATTAGGACAATGGGTTTATATATCTGTGGAATGGCTGGGGTGGGGCAAAGAGCTCTTCTCTGCTGGAGCTAGGTGTGAATGTTTCAACTGACCACCTTCATTAGCATTTGAAGGCCTGGCTGAGCCTGGGAAAATGTTCTGTTGAGAGGTGTTAAGATGTGCCTGGTTGTTTCCTCTCTGCTGTTTTGCTGTTGTGATTTTAGAGTTTTTTAATACTGGTAGCCAGAGGGTCTTTCTCCCACCTCAGACATTATTCCACAGGTGTGTGTATGTATGTATGTATGTATGTATGTGTGTACACATACACACACACCACTGGCCTCATTTCCAACAGACCTCTGAAGATGTCAGTCACAGATCAGGTGAAATGTTAGGAGAGAATGCTGCTGGAACATGGTCAAACAGCCCAAAAAACTCACATCAACCTAGTGAAAGCCTTCGACAATACACCTTCCCTATGCTAGCCAAAGCTATAAATGTACCAGTTCTGACTTACAAACAAATTCAACTTAAGAACAAACCTTTAGAACCTGTCTTGTTCCTGACTTGGGGCCTGCCTGTGTGGACTAACAACAGGAGCTGGCCATTCTGTTTTGTTTTTCTACACAAACCATTCTATGTTTGTATTCTGCTGAATCTACTCCTCTTGAGCAATTCCTTCACAGACTACAACACAGAATGCACTGGCAACAATAGGGCCACAACTATCAAGCGTTCGGATTCAAATACCTGTTTCTTGGTGGAATTCAGGAGGAGCAGGGCTGGTCACCACCTGATACACTTTGTAGGGTTCCGAACTGTCCAAGTGGCTCAGTTCCGGGATCTCCTTGAAGTCGGTGCTCTTGTTCAAGGCGCACCGGAGCCGGGTCTTCCACACAGAGGGGTCGGCCTTGTCCTGCCCTTCGTGGTACTTGCCCTTGTAGATGGCCCAGGCCTGGAGGGAAAGGGAGAAGAAGAAGAAGAGTCAGCCTCAAGCAGGCACATTGAACACCAGATATGGAGACGGAGGGCTTTTCCTTGAAGAGAACTTTGATCACACTATTGGCATGCAAGAAGTCTGACTCCAAAAGGTTGGACTAGATGACCTTTATGGACCTCTTCCAGTGTTCTATGCTTCCTTCAAGACAGTATTACACACACTAATAGGCATGCAAAGAGTCTTACTCTAAAAGGTTGGACTAGATGACCTTTATGGACCTCTTCCAGTGTTCTATGCTTCCTTCAATACAGTACTACCCACACTGATAGGCTTGCAAGGAGTCTTACTCCGAAAGCTTGGACTAGATGACCTTTATGGACCTCTTCCAGTGTTCTATGCTTCCTTCAAGCCAGTATTACCCACACTGATAGGCATGCAAGTAGTCTGACTCCAAAAGGTTGAACTAGATGACCTTTGGGGACCTCTTCCAGAGTTCTATGCTTCCTCAAGACAGTATTATCCACACTGATGGGCATGCAAGGAGTGTTACTCCAAAAGGTTGGACTAGATGACCTTTATGGACCTCTTCCAGTGTTCTATGCTTCCTTCAAGACAGTATTACCCGCACTAATAGGCATGCAAGGAGTCTGACTCCAGAAGGTTGGACTAGATGACCTTTAGGACCCTCTTCCAGTGTTCTATACTTCCTCAAGACAGTATTATCCACACTGATGGGCATGCAAGGAGTCTGACTCCAAAAGGATGGACTAGATGACCTTTAGGGACCTCTTCCAGTGTTCTATGCTTCCTTCAAGACAGTATTATCCACACTGATGGGCATGTAAGGAGTCTAACTCCAAAAGGTTGGACTAGAAGACCTTTAGGGACCTCTTCCACTGTTCTATGCTTCCTTCAAGACAGTATTACACACACTAATAAGAATGCAAAGAGTCTTACTCTAAAAAGTTGGACTAGATGACCTTTAGGGATCTCTTCCAGTGTTCTGTGCTTCCTTCAAGACAGTATTACCCGCACTAATAGGCATGCAAGGTGGCTGACTTCAGAACATTGGACTAGATGACCTTTAGGACCCTCTTCCAGTGTTCTGTGCTTCCTTCAAGCCAGTACTACCCACACTGATGGGCATGCAAGTAATCTTACTCCAAAAGCTTGGACTAGATGACTTTTAGGGACCTCTTCCAGTGTTTTATGCTTCCTTCAAAACAGTATTACCCACACTAATAGGCATGTAAGGAGTCTGACTCCAAAAAGTTGGACTAGATGACCTTTAGGGACCTCTTCCAGTGTTCTATGCTTCCTTCAAAACAGTATTACCCACACTGATAGGCATGCAAGGAGTCTGACTCCAAAAGGCTGGATTAGATGACCTTTATGGACCTCTTCCAATGTTCTGTGCTTCCTTCAAGTCAGTATTACCCACACTAATGGGCATGCAAGGAGACTTACTCCAAAAGGTTGGACTAGATGACCTATAGGGACATCTTCCAATGTTTTATGTTCTAGTGCAAGAAGTCCCATATCTATCCTAGAGCTGGAAGAGATTACAAGCATTAAATAACAATGAAGTTTGCAATCAGTGAGGTTGTCTGCCTAGAGGTAGCCTTGCCTTTGTTGCCTGATTGACTGAGCAGCTTCACAGCTATTCAATGCTATTCAAGCTTGCTAACTGCAACATTCACATTCACTTTAACAGACAAGGGTTCTTTCTCCCACCCTGGACATTATTCCAGAGATATATATACACTCCACTTGCCTCATTTCCAACAGACCTCTGAAGATGCCATTAACCTCAGATGCAGGCAAAATGTCAGGAGAGGATGCTTCTGGAGCATGGTTAGACAGCCCAAAAAACTCACAGCAAACCCATTACTATTACTATTGGTTACATTTGGGTATTTCAGTCTCGATGCTGCACTTGCAGAACTCAAGCAGTGTTGTATTTCAGTGTCAATGTGGATGGCTGTGGAGATGTGGTTGCCAAGGGAGCGGAAATGGTCAACATTTTCTAACCTTACACCATTAAGCTATATTTTTGGCATTGCAGACAGATTTACTGGTGACTAATGGAAGAGCACTTTGGTTTTCTCGATGTTCAATGAGAGGTCGAGCTTCTCATATGCTTCGGCAAAGGGGTTTAGAGTGACTAGTACAGTGTTTCTCAACATGGGAGTCGGGACCCCTGAGGGGATCGCGAAAGGGTTTCTGGGGGGTCGCCAAAGACCATCAGAAAACACATATTTCTAATGGTCTTAGGAACCCTTTTGCCTGTCCTTCTCTTTCTTTTTTGTGTTGGTGAACTACAACTCCCAGAATTCAAAAACAGCCCCCCCCCCCAACCCCACTAGTAATCAGTGTTGGCCATGTAGGTAGCATGTTGAGTTTAGTGCAGATCCCTTTTGGGCTGAGTTCAGAATGCTCTTTGATTGTAGATTAACTACAAATCCCAGCAACTTCAACTCCCAAATGTCAAGGTATATTTTTCCCAAACTTTGGGCATCTTGAGTATTCATGCCAAGTTTGGTCCAGATCCATTATTTTGAGTCCACAGTGCTCTCTGGATGTAGGTGAACTACAACTCCAAAACTCAAGGATCAATGCCCACCAAACCTTCCAGTATTTTCTGTTGGTCATGGGAGTTCTGTGTGCCAAGTTTGGTTCAATTCTATCGTTGGTAGAATTCAGAATGCTCTTTGATTGTAGGTTAACTATAAATCCCAGCAACTACAATTCCCAAATGACAAAATCCTCTCCCCAATGATCCCCAACAATATTCAAATTTGGACATATCGGGTATTTGTGCCAAATTTGGTCCAATGAATGAAAATACATCCTGAATGTCAGATATTTACATTACGATTCATAACAGTAGCAAAATTACAGTTATGAAGTAGCAACGAAAATAATGTTATGGTTGGGGGGTCACCACAACAGGAGGAAGTGTATTAAGGGGTCACAGCATTAGGAAGGTTGAGAAACACTGGGCTAGTAGGTCTTCTTCTAAATGAGCACAGGCACTGAAATACAACGCCGCTCAAACTCTGCGAGTGCAGCACTTTTCCGAATGAAGCAGAGAATGTTTCAGGATTGGGCCTGCATCAATAGGAGCATAGTGTCTAGATCTAGGGAAGTCATGCTCCCCATGCTCTAGTCCGCTTTGGTTAGACCACACCTGGAATATTGTGTCCAATTCTGGGCACCACAATTCAAGAGAGATATTGACAAGCTGGAATGTGTCCAGAGGAGGGCGACTAAAATGATCAAGGGTCTGGAGAACAAGCCCTATGAGGAGCGGCTTAAGGAGCTGGGCATGTTTAGCCTGAAGAAGAGAAGGCTGAGAGGAGACATGATAGCCATGTATAAATATGTAAGAGGAAGCCACAGGGAGGAGGGAGCAAGCTTGTTTCTGCTTCCTTGGAGACTAGGACGCGGAACAATGGCTTCAAACTACAAGAGAGGAGATTCCATCTGAACATGGGGAAGAACTTCCTGACTGTGAGCGCCGTTCAGCAGTGGAACTCTCTGCCCCGGAGTGTGGTGGAAGGCTCCTTCTTTGGAAGCTTTTAAACAGAGGCTGGATGGCCATCTGTCAGGGGTGATTTGAATGCAATATTCCTGCTTTTTGGCAGAAAGGGGTTGGACTGGATGGCCCAGGAGGTCTCTTCCAACTCTTTGATTCTATGAGTGAAACCTTGGGAGTGCCCCTTCCCCAGTGACGTCACTGATTGGGACCCCCCCCCTCCCCCCTCTATTCCCAGGCGTCAGACCTTGAAGAGAGCTGCGTCCTCCCTCTGGCAATAGTCCTGCTTGGCGGCGTGCTTCCAGGGGATTGGGGCCCCCCCCCCCCTCTATTCCCAGGCGTCAGACCTTGAAGAGAGCTGCGTCCTCCCTCTGGCAATAGTCCTGCTTGGCGGCGTGCTTCCAGGGGATGCGGAAGACCCTCCGGCCGCGGTCCTCCCAGCAGAGTCCCGGGAAGCGCCCGCTCTCCACTTGCTCCACCAGCCACTCCTTCAACCGCAGTGGAGGGGTCGACATGGCCGGGACAAGAGAAGCCGAGAAAGGTCTGCTTCTCCTCCTTCCTCGCCTGGCTCGTCGGGACACGCGGCGGGCAGGAGCAGAAACCGAAACTCCCCGGGGCGGTTTTGCTTTCCATCCTTCCCTCTTTCCCCTCCTCCTCCTCCTCCGCCTTCTCCTTTTCTCTGCCCGAGAACTGCACGCAGGAGAGAAGGAGAGCGTCCCTTCTATTGCAAGGGAGCCCCAAAGGCCATCTAGTCCAACCTCCTTCTTTTCTACCAGGGAGAAAGACACATCCCAAGCCTTCCCGACAAATTGCGCATTCAGAGAAAGAGGCACCTTGTGTGCCAAGATACAGCCCCAAAGGAGGGACGTTCAAAGGATAGAGTCCTCGAGTTGGGAGGGAACCCTCAAGGCCATCCAGTCCTAGGGGAGAAGCAATTGGAAGGGGCCCACAAAGGCCATCCAGTCCAGGCTCCTTTTCTGCCAGGAAGGAAGGCACACCCCAAGCCCTCCTGACAAATTGCGCATCAAAAGAAAAAGGCCTCTTATGTGCCAAGGCAGCCCCAAAGGTGTGATGTTCAAAGGATAAGAGTGCTCGAGTTGGAAGGGGACACTCAAGGCCACCCAGTCCTAGGGGAGAAGCAATTGGAAGGGATCCTCAAAGGCCATCCAGTCCAGCCTCCCTTTTTGCCAGGTTGGAAGGCGTGTCCCAAGCCTTTCCGACAAATTGCTCATCCAGAGAAGGAAGTTCCTTGTGTGCCAAGACAGCCCCAATGGGGAGATGTTCAAAGTATAGAGTCCTTGAATTGGAAGGGAACCCTCAAGGCCATCCAGTCCTAGGGGAGGAGTAACTGGCAGGGACCCCCAAAGGCCATCCAGTCCAGCCCCCTTTTCTGCCTGGCAGAAAAACACCAAGCCTTCCCGACAAATTGCGCATTCATTTGAAGGAGGCTCCTTGTGTGCCAAGACAGCCCCAATGGAAGGATGTTCAAAGGATAGAGTCCTTGTGTTGGGAGGGACCTACAAAGATCATCCAGTCCTAGGGGAGAAGCAATTGGAAGGGAACCCCCAAGGGCCATCCAGTCCAGCCTCCTTTTCTGCCAGACAAAAAGGTGCATCCCAAGCCTTCCTAACAAATTGCACATCCAGAGAAGGAGGCCTCTTGTGTGCCAAGACAGCCCCAAAGGAGAGGCGTTCAAAGGATAAGAGTGCTCGAGTTGGAAGGGAATTCTCAAGGCCATCCAGTCCTAGGGGAGAAGCGATTGGAAGGGATCCTCAAAGGCCATCCAGTCCAGCCTCCCTTTTTGCCAGGTTGGAAGGCGTGTCCCAAGCCTTTCCGACAAATTGCACATCCAGAGAAGGAGGCCTCTTGTGTGCCAAGACACAGCCCCAATGGAGAGATGTTCAAAGTATAGAGTTCTTGAGTTGGAAGGGAACCCCCAAGGCCATCCAGTCCTAGGGAAGAAGCAATTGGAAGGGGACCCCTAAAGGCCATCCAGTCCAGCCTCCTTTTTGCCAGGTAGTAAGGCGTGTCCCAAGCCTTCCCGACAAATTGCGCATCCAAAGAAAGAGGCACCTTGTGTGCCAAGACACAGCCCCAAAGGAGAGGTGTTCAAAGGAGAAGAGTGCTCGAGTTGGAAGGGAACCCTCAAGGCCATCCGGTCCTAGGGGAGAAGCAATTAGAATGGATCCCTAAAGGCCATCCAGTCCAGCCATCTTTTCTTCCAGGCAGAAAAACACAATCCAAGCCTTCCCGACAAATTGCGCATTCATTTGAAGGAGGCTCCTTGTGTGCCAAGACAGCCCCAATGGAAGGATGTTCAAAGGATAGAGTCCTTGTGTTGGGAGGGACCTACAAAGATCATCCAGTCCTAGGGGAGAAGCAATTGGAAGGGAACCCCCAAGGGCCATCCAGTCCAGCCTCCTTTTCTGCCAGACAAAAAGGTGCATCCCAAGCCTTCCCAACAAATTGCACATCCAGAGAAGGAGGCCTCTTGTGGGCCAAGACAGCCCCAATGGAGAGATGTTCAAAGTATAGAGTTCTTGAGTTGGAAGGGAACCCCCAAGGCCATCCAGTCCTAGGGAAGAAGCAATTGGAAGGGGACCCCTAAAGGCCATCCAGTCCAGCCTCCTTTTTTGCCAGACAAAAAGGTGCATCCCAAGCCTTCCCAACAAATTGCACATCCAGAGAAGGAGGCCTCTTGTGGGCCAAGACAGCCCCAATGGAGAGATGTTCAAAGTATAGAGTCCTCGAGTTGGAAGGGAATCTTCAAGGCCATCCAGTCCTAGGGGAGAAGCAATTGGAAGGGGACCCCTAAAGGCCATCCAGTCCAGCCTCCTTTTCTGCCAGGCAAGCCTTCCCAACAAATTGCGCATCCAGAGAAGGAGGCCTCTTGTGGGCCAAGACAGCCCCAATGGGGGATGTTCAAAGTATAGAGTCCTCGAGTTGGAAGGGAATCTTCAAGGCCATCCAGTCCTAGGGGAGAAGCAATTGGAAGGGGCCCCTAAGGGCCATCCAGTCCACCCTTTTCTGCCTGGCAGGAAGGTGCATTCCAACCTTCCCGGCAAATTGTGCTTCCAATTGGAAGGGAATCTTCAAGGCCATCCAGTCCTAGGGGAGAAGCAATTAGAATGGATCCCCAAATGCCATCCAGTCCACCCTCCTTCTTTTCTGCCAGGCAGGAAAACACAATCCAAGCCTTCCCGACAAATTGCGCATTCATTTGAAGGAGGCTCCTTGTGTGCCAAGACAGCCCCAATGGAGGGAGGTTCAAAGGATTGAGTCCTTGTGTTGGGAGGGAACCCTCAAGGCCATCCAGTCCTAGGGGAGGAGTAATTGGAAGGGATCCTCAAAGGCCATCCAGTCCAGCTTCCTTTTTTACCAGGTAGGAAGGCGTGTCCCAAGCCTTCCCAACAAATTGTGCATCCAGAGAAGGAAGTTCCTTGTGTGCCAAGACAGCCCCAATGGGGAGATGTTCAAAGTAGGCCATCCAGTCCTAGGGGAGAAGCAGTTGGGACCCCTAAAGGCCATCCAGTCCACCCTCCTTCTTTTCTGACAGGAAGGAAGGCGCGTCTGAAGCTTTCCCGACAAATTGCGCATCCAGAGAAGGAGGCCCTTTGTGTGCCAAGACAGCCCCAATGGAGGGACGTTCAAAGGATAGAGTCCCTGAGTTTGGAGGGATCCTCAAATGCCATCCAGTCCACCCTCCTCCTTTTTCTGCCAGGCAGAAAGGTGCATCCCAAGCCTTCCCAACAAATTGCGCATCCATTTGAAGGAGGCTCCTTGAGTGCCAAGACAGCCCCAATGGAGAGATGTTCAAAGGATAGGGTCCTTGAGTTGGGAAAGGGACCCCAAAGGCCATCCAGTCCACCCTCCACTTCTTTTCTGCCAGGCAGGAAAACACCATCGAAGTCCTCTCGACAAGTGTACATCCAGAGAAGGGGGCTCCTTGTGTGCAAAGACAGCCCCAATGGAGGGACGTTCAAAGGATAGAGGGACCCCCAAAGGGCATCCAGTCCACCCTCCTTCTTTTCTGCCAGGCAGAAAGGCGCATCCCAAGCCTTCGTGACAAATTTTGCATCCATTTGAAGGAGGCTCATTGAGTGCCAAGACAGCCCCAATGGAGAAATGTTCAAAGGATAAAGTCCTCGGATTGGAAGGGACCACCAAAGGCCATCCAGTCCACCCTCCTCCTTTTCTGCCAGGCAGGAAAACACCATCCAAGCCCTTCTGACAAGTGCACATCCAGAGAAGGGGGCTCCTTGCATGCAAAGACATAGCCCCCCGATAACTTCAATGAGGAGATGATCAAAATATAGAGTCCTCAAGTTGGAAGGGAACCCCCAAATGCCATCCAGTCCACTCCTCTCTCCTTTCTTCCAGGCAGAAAGGCACTATCCAAGCCATCCCAACAAATGGTAATTCATTTAAAGGAGTCTCCTTGCGTGCAAAGAAAGCCCTGGGGGGGGGGGGGACTTCGATGGAGATATGTTTAAAGTATAGAGGGTGGACATGCCTGTGGAGTTTCCTTTGCTGTCTGTGTCCTTGTTCAGAAGATTTCCCCTCACTTTCCATCCCTGTGACCATTTGAGTAATTTGACTTGTAGAAACAAGGATTAGAGAGAAAGCTTCAGTGGAGACCCCTTTTCCCCATGATAATAATAACTTCCAGGAATAGATTTCTCTTCCTAGGAGTAGCTTTCTCTCACTTCCTGTTATCTCACCACGGTCTTAACTATGAGTAGTTTGTAAGTCGTATATTTGTAACTCAGAGACAGCTTGTGCATTACATTCTGACGATAGAGTATATCTAGTGGAACAGCATTGTGTGCTACTGAAGCTTACTTACTTACTTAGGCAAGCCATCATAGCTCAAGGATGATTGTCTTCCAGGTATGGTGTCTTGGTGGTGGGTCCGCCCTATTCTTGATCCGCATGTTCTCTCGCAGTGAGGACATCAGTTTCCAGGTAGAAGGCAGTCCCAGTCAGGGTTGGCTTGATGACTCTTCTTCTTGGCATGTTTCTATTTTTCGCCCTCCATTTGTGCCTCTTCAAATTCTACAGCACTGCTGGTCACAGCTGACCTCCAGTTAGAGCACTCAAGGGCCAGGGCTTCCCAGTTCTCGGTGTCTATGCCAGAGTTTTTAAGGTTGGCTTTGAGCCCATCTTTAAATCTCTTTTCCTGTCCACCAATATTCTGTTTTCCATTCCTGAGTAGAGCAACTGCTTTGGGAGACGGTGGTCGGGCATCCGGACAACGTGGCCGGTCCAGCGGAGTTGATGGCGGAGGACCATCGCTTCAATGCTGGTGGTCTTTGCTTCTTCCAGCACGCTGACATTTGTCCGCCTGTCTTCCCAAGAGATTTGCAGGATTTTTGGAGGCAATGCTGATGGAATCGTTCCGAGAGTTGAGTTTGACGTCTGTAGACAGTCCATGTTTCGCAGGTGTATAGCAGGGTTGGGAGGAGTGCAACAGCATCGTGTGCTACTGATATACTTACATTAAGTAAACGATCGCAGTGAAGGTTAAAACACCAAAAGAACAAAAGGAGAAGCTGCTGTATAACACGTGGGACCGATAGCAACAATAGCATATACAACAGCTGGATCCCATTTTCAATCCACTGCTGTGATTGCAAAAC